GTGTGTGAGTGTGTGTGAGTGTGTGTGTGTGAGTGTGTGTGAGTGTGTGTGTGTGTGTGTGTGTGTGTGAGTGTGTGTGTGTGTGTTGATGTGGATCAGTCATACTGACCTCGGCACATCCGGTTGTCGTCGCGCAGCACGTATCCCGTCGGACACATGCACTCGTACGAGCCGAAGGTGTTGACGCAGCGGAAAGCACAGAGCAGCAGGTTCACCGAACACTCGTTGATGTCTGGACACATCAAATAAAGAGGAAACCATGACTTTATCACTTAATTATTAATTTATCATGTCAACTCTATATCGACAAAAATCACCTTAAAACAAAGATCATTTACTTACGAAGCATAAGATAAGACTTAATAGCATATAGTTATATGTCTGTAAAAATGTTTGAAAAAGATTATTTTCACTTTACATTACATTATATAAAGTATTAAATGTTACATCATAATTTATTATATATTAATATATATAATTTATGATAGACTTTCAAAATTTTGCATTAGAACTACTTTATACTGACAGTTTTTTTCCCAGTATAAACATCCTTAAAGCAAAATTAATTTACTTAAGAAGTGTAATTGTGTAATATAGCAATACTTTATTAAGATGCATATTTTAAAAAATGCACAAAAAAACCCTATAAATTATGTATATCTTCAAAATTATGCTTCTTAGGTAAATTCATCTGGTATTATATATATATATATATATATATGACTAAAGTTATACAATTTGGAACAATTTATTAATTATATAAAACACTTTAAATTCAAAAATCAAAATTACTAGTATTGTTTATGAAATTTAGAACATTTATTAATAATGAAACAAATTAGAATTAAATACATTATTATAAATAAATTAATATAAAATCCACATATATATTTCTTATATTATTATTCTTATAAATATATTTCTTATAAAATGTATAAAACATTATATAAAATATACAATTATTTTATATTACGGTATATAAAACATCTTAAAATGATTCAATATTTTTATTAACTTGTCAAAATTAAAATAGCTGGATTTGATTGTAAAATTATGAACAGTTTATTAATGAAATAAAACACTTTTTATTAAATGATTAAAGTATGATATATGTATGCCTGTAAAAATGTGGTATAGTGGAATACAGTGCAGCTTATCTCCGGAGCGTACCTTCACAGGTCATCATGGGTCCGGGTTCGAAGCCGTCCTGACAGGAACATTCAAAGCCACCAGGAACGTTTGAGCACGTCCCGTTTCCACAGGGGTTTCCGATCGAGCACTCGTCCGTATCTGTAACATCAGACGTTAATAACCCACCTCTCTAACTCCTTTATCATTGGCTTGATACTTTTAGTTTCTGATGCTGTAACCCGAGGGATCTGAACCCACAACCTTCCCGCAGTCATCGAGAACAGCCAAAATAGGGTGAAGTGAGGTTAACTGGGAGTTGAGAAATCGTCTGGGTTTAGTGTGAACTCACCCACGCAGTTGACGCCGGTGAAGTCGAGGTTGTATCCGAAGGGACACTCGCAGCGGAACGAGCCGTCCGTGTTGATGCACAGGCCGTTTCTGCAGATGCCCGGGTTCTCCACGCACTCGTTCATGTCTGTGGAGGCCGACGGGACGTTAGTACCGGGGATTGTGGGAAGGTGAAGTGCTTTAGTCGACAGAATTTAACTGGTTTTCTCACCCTCTCGTCCTTCGGGTCTCGGGACGGCCTCGTGACCGTAGGGACACAACGTGAGAAACGCAGCTGCGGGAGACAAACACGGAGACAAGAAGGGTGTGATTATTAAAGTAAAGTTAGTTTGACATGCTCAAATATGTGACCCTGCAGCACAAAAGCAGTGTTGAGTCGCTGGGGGATATTTGTAGCAATAGCCAACAATACATTGTATGGGTCACAATTATACATTTCTCTTTTATGCCAAAAATCATTAGGATATTAAGTAAAGATTATGTTCCATGAAGATATTTTGTAAGTTTTCTACGGTAAATATATCAAAACTTAATTTTTGATTAGTAATATGCATTGCTAAGAACTTCATTTGAACAACTTTAAAGATGATTTTCTCAATATTTAGATGTTTTTGCACCCTCAGATTCCAGATTTTCAAATATTTTAGTTGTATCTCGGCCAAATATTGTTCTATCCTAACAAACCATACATCCATGGAAAGCGTATTTATTCATGATCTATAAATCTCAATTTTGAA